CTCTCTCTCTCTCTCTCTCTCTCTCTCTCTCTCTCTCTCTCTCTCTCTCTCTCTCTCTCTCTCTCTCTCTCTCTCTCTCTCTCTCTCCCCGATGCCCCTACTCTCCTACGACAAACAGTTTTCAAACCACCACCATCTCTTCGTCTCCGCCAGACACCGATCAACCTCTCTCTCTCTCTCTCTCTCTCTCTCTCTCTCTCTCTCTCTCTCTCTCGTTTGACTCACATGAGCGGAGACAGGCCTCTCTCTCACACACTTTTTTGCACGGCCGCCTGCCTTTAGATGGGCGTGTATACAGCTAGAACGCCTGCCAAGCTGCCCCCCTACGCGTGCACCGAGCTGATGATTGGATGACGCGTACTACAAAATCCCCTATGTCCAGCATCTTCTCGGGGCTGGTTGGGGTGGCTTGGCGGTTTCTGATCTGCCGGCAAGATTCAGGGGTCCTGCACAGGGATGACACGTACAGACCGAGAGACAAAAAAAAAAAAGACAAGGAAAAAACGACAGAGATGGGCCCTCGTCCGGGGGTATCTCTCAGCATTTTACGAGGAGATACATTTCTCATTTTGCAGTGTTGGCGAGTGGTGCGGCGAGGCCCATAATCGCCGACCTACCTGCTGGTCCCCCCTACCTGCGTCGCTCTTCGATGGTGGGGACAACTGATTGGGGGGTTGCTCCCTGCATGCATATTTTCGCTCCTGAGCACAAGTCTTTTTTCTTTTTCTTTATTTTTTCCTTTTCTTTTCGGAGAGAGTTTCGAAAATGCCCCTCCGACTTCCATTTATTTCCGGTATGCCCCTCTGACGGCCGACTCACCCTGTCCCGTCACCCTGACAACGATTGAAGGTTCTGAAAAAACCCTGGCATCGTTTGGGCCTGAAATATGTTCAATATGCCCCTACCGGTACGGGTTCCAAACTTCCAGTATGCCCCAGTAGCCCCCTTCCAAGGGCCAGGGCAACGGCCGCAAGTGCCACTAACGGCCACAGAGGCATGGTGGAAAGTTGCACCCCTCAATGACAGAGGCCTGCAGGAAACTTCAGAGGCCCCATGGGCGCGACAGGGTAAATTGTCCATCGGAGGGGAATACTGCAAATAAAAACGGACGTCAGAGGGGCACTTCAAAAATTAGCCACTGTGTGATCAGGAGGGGAATACTGCAAAGAAAAATGGAGGTCAGAGGGGCACTTCGAAAATTATCCCTCAATGACTTTGCCGTATTCTCCTCCATTGTTAGGACTTTTTTTTTTCTTTTTTTCTTTTTTTTTTTTCCCAAATCAGAATTCCATTAAAAACAAAACATTGAGGCCGGGGACCTCACAATTCTACCCGGAGTTATCCCGGCAGCATCAGCCGGTTTCGCTTACAGCCCACAGGGCTTCAAAGGACAGTTCATGACCAACAGGTAGAGAGAAAACCTCTCCCATGAAGTGTGTCCTAACTAGGGCTGGAGCACTCCATCCTACTCCCTTTAACTAAAGCTTCTATGTCTACCATCTACCAACCATTATCCTAACTACAGATAACAATCAAAATTACAAATCTACTAACATTCTAACATGAAATTAGAAAAGGGCAGTAAAGGAGAGGTCACAAAAATGAAAGAAGAGGACCAAAGGACAGTAAGAAATAAAGGAAACCCATAAGATATGACAGAGGAAAGAAGGAAAAGGAAGAAGGGAGAAAGGATAGGTCCTACACCCTTTAAGCTACACTACCACCCTGGCCCCAGCCCCTGCAATCTTGGTCACAGTTGCCATAAAAGGGAACCTGTTAACAGAAGCCTTAAAACGGGCTTCGACTGCTTCGACTTCAGACCTTAGATAGCCACGGCGGAAAATCAAGAGCGCCGTTAGGTCTGGGAAAGACCAGGCGCGCCTTGGCGCCCCATGTTTTAAAGAACCAGCTTACTCATTTCGGGCTATATTTGCCGCTCAGCCGCCTCCTCCAGTCTGCTATTATGGTATGCCTGATCCCAGTCTTGACTTTATTCGTGATATCTGTGAAGCACAAATGACAGTCACGAAAAACCTGATCATTACGATCCTTCCACAGGACACCAAAAAAAATCCTCTGATAACTTGAGCTACATAGCCCCACTCGGAGTTAGCAGCGAATCCAGTTGGAAGTATGCCAGACAACACCCAGTTCTCGTTCCAAGGGAAAATATCATTGGTAATGTCTCTCCAGTGTTTTTCCCACAATTTCCATACCCGAAGTGAGAAAGGGCACATATACCATAAATGACTTGTAGATTCCAATCCCCACCTACACCGTGTACAAGTAGTGCTAATATCCAATCCTTTGGAATTCAACCAGACCGCAGAGGCTGTAACCAGTAGAGATTGCAGTAACAGTATACTGGCCTGCTTTTGAGAAGGCAGCGCTTTCAGCTGTTTCCAATGAGCAAGCATGTCTTCTCTGGCTATCACCGGAACCGCTTGTTCCTCTCGTCTTTGTGTCACAGTATCAATCGGTTTCTTCTTCACCCTCTGTCGGAGGATATCAACCCCTCTCTTCGCTGAGTATCCACTTAGTCTGAATGGCTTATGGGATGCAGGTTTTATCCACCCTACTGATCCTGGATGGAAGGCCAGTTCTTTCAGCGTCCGACCTCCAGCCAACAGCCTAACTTGTGACCTAGTCAGATTGCCCTCTGTTTCTGACTGTTTGTCTTTGTTCTTGCCCGTATCTTGTTGCCCTACTACTTCCACTATTACCTGACTGGTGCCTTGAAGAGTCATTACCTGATCAGTTCCTTTAGGGCACAAAAGTCTGTCGAAACGAGTTTTATCTGTTGCTGTCCAAACTTCTACTGGATACCCTTGGTCGTCATTCTGGTCCATGACTTTCCAGTAAGTTTCTGGCTCTGGGGCTTTCAACCAACAATCAGAGCACAGTTTGGCACGTAAAATAACTGACCAGGTTGGTGGTAACGAGTTTTGAATGTCCGCCAAGCGTTCCTCGACTCTCCGTAGACAGCGAAGTTGAGCTCGAACTGCACCTTCAGTTCGCCAATCTTGCACATCCTTGTCCCACAAATCCCCTATCCTTACCACTCCCCTCTCTATCCATGATTTTCCATAATTCCCCGGGAAATCGTGAGTCGAGAAGGGGAGACCATTCGGGTCACAAAGAAAGTGGTTATCAAAGATTGGTTGCATCAGGACTTCTTCCCATGATTGGGGGGGAACTCGGTAGGATGAAAATAATTTGGCCCAGGCAAATAGCACATCACTCCAAAAATGAGACTTAGGTTTTTTGTTGCTGTAGGTCTGGGAAAACAGGCAACTCCATACATCAGCTGGATCTTTCAAATGCTATTCTTCTGCCAGTATGTACTCAGCTAACCAGATCCATGCATGTTTGTGTTCCGATAAAATTGCTTTGATAGGCCATTTGGCCAATAGAGCAATATTCTGGCATTTAGGATCCGGTATGTTGAAACCACTCTGATCTCTGGGGAACGTGATCGTCTCTCATGCTATTTTGGAGAGAAAGCCTTCACCTTCCTCAGCTTCCGGTTTCCAAATGAATCTGGAGGCCGCCTTTCTGATCTTTTTGTAGGCCTGATCTCCAAGTAGGTGAACCTGCAGAATTCTCTGACACACCTTCTCTCCAGTAATTGATCCTGCAGCTCAGAGTTATCTAATAAGGAGACTTGTATACCAAGGTAGCGATCTGAGGCATCAGTCGGTATACGTCTCATGCCCCAGTTCGCTTGCAATTGGAAATGTGCCGGTAGAAAGTAAACTGACTTATTCAAGTTGATTGATGCCTCTAATATATAGTATAGGCATCCAATGTCATTCGAACAGCATGCAGCGATTCTTTATCATTCAAGCATGTTATAGTTAAGTCATCAATTAGTGCCTCTCCTTTCCATTCGTATTCCTTGTGCAATTCCAACCCAGTTATCGCTTCATTCTGTCTTATGTTGTTCAATAAAACTTCGAGGTAAAGCACAAAAAGGAGGGGAGTCAATGGGCAACCCTGCCGCAAGGAGCGGGACAATTGAAGTTCATCTGATAAATGGTTATTAACCAGCACCCTTGCAATTGAAGTAGAGTGCATAACTGAAACCCATCTGCAAAAGTTTGGTCCAAAGCCCATGTAATTCAGGGTTGTTCCCACAAAGGCTCAACCTACTTTATCGTAGGCTTTCTCCATATCGATAAGGAGGAGCGCTACATTTCTATCTTCCTCTGCAATTATCTCCAGCGCTTGAATTGTGGCTGCAATATTGTCCATGATAGACCTATGTTTAACAAAGACACCCTGATCTGCTCCTATTAAGGCCGGGAGGTAGTTCGCTAGACGCAAGGCCAGCGCTTTGGCCAAGATTTTGTACGAAACATTAAGTAAAGAAATTGGACGTCAATTTCTTATATCTTCTTTATCACTTTTTTTATATAGTGGAGTGATAATTCCTTATTGCATGCCTTTAGTTCGAGTTCCACCCGATAGAACTCCATTGTAGACTTCTACTAGAGTCGGTCCGACCGTATCCCACAAGGCAATATATACTTCTACAGGCAACCCGTCTGAGACCGGACATTTTCTGGAGGTCATTTGTTCCGCTGCGTGTTGGATTTCTTCTATAGTAAAAGGACGATTCAGCCCCAGTCTCCCTTCTTGAGAGATACGGACGGAGGTTTTGAGACAGAAAGATAAAAATCCCCTCAAGTCTGTAGAGAAAGAGTCCATCGGTCTTTGTGTGGTTAAAATTTTCTGAAAGTACAGTTGCGCATATTCGCACATGCCTTGGGGGTCTGATTTGATTGGCGTCGTGGACATGAAAGGGTGTGATAAT